TTTGGCATGCAGTAAAATTATTTCTAGAAAGTTAATATAGAGACTCCCTAAATTTGATCCTGCAGGGAAGGACAAGAATGTTGTTTTATGGAGTGTGGAAGACCATATGACATCTTTAGCACAGGCAGCCTACTTTAGACTAGGTTCCATTATTGGTCGGAATTACAACCCAGTTGTCAATCCACGTGGCATCTTCCGTGGACACACTGATACTGTTGAAGATGTCCAGTTTTGCCCTACCTGGTATATATACTGACTAATTTCTATCTTTAGTTAGTTTAATTATATTACAAGCTCCAAATTGAAAAACTATTATTCCTAAATATTATTAAGTTCAAGTATTTAACCTTCTCACTACACAAATATTTGTTCCTGTTTATTGGAAAGTCCACAAGAGTTCTGTAGCGTAGGGGACGATTCCAACTTCATATTATGGGATGCCCGCGTTGGCCCTGATCCTGTTATCCAGGTTCTTATTCTTTAATTAATTAATTTATTTCTGTTTATTAATCAATTTTCTGAATGATAACAATATAATTAGTTAACTTTCAAATCTCTAAACTATCTTAAACTATTATATATGCTCGTCAATATTATTGTCTCTCCTAATTTTAACAGGTCCAGAAAGCTCATCTTGAGGACGATATCCACTGTGTCGAATGGAATAACTTCGATGTTAATTATATTCTTACTGGGTCTGTACGCACACCCACTGCTTAATTATACAACAACAATTAAATTTTTTCTTTTAATAATTAGATAAATGTCTTTTTTTGGTTTCTGGTGAACTATACAGTTCTGCTGATAGGTCAGTTCATATGTATGATCGTCGAAACCTTAACAATGGCCGACGAGGACCGAATCCTGTTTATAAATTCCAGGGACACGATGCATCTGTCCTTTGTGTTCAGGTAAATATATTTGTATATATTCTTTGAACTAAAACTTTTATGGTACTTTAATTAAGGGTTAAAACTTATTATGTTTAAATCTAATTAATTAATTAATAGGAGGGGTATGTTGAGATCAAATTAAAGGTGGGTGTTTGAACTTTGAACTGTGCAGTGGTGTCCCGATAAACCATCCGTATTTGGCACTTCTGGTGATGATGGCATTGTTAACATTTGGGACTATGAAAAGGTAATTTGATGGAACTCTCTTAGTTATTTAATTATTAATTATTCTCCTTCATTTTCTTAAACATCATTAGTTCCAACCCTGTTGGGAACACTATCTTCTTGTTTTTGTTTTATTCCCAAGAATCGAATCCAGATTCAAGTGCTACAATTAATAAGGAAACATCAGGTGCCATTAGGTTAAAAGGCCTAAAAACACTATATGTAATCAGATAGAGAATTGTGTGTTTGCCCACATGAATATATATATAGGGATAAGATGTTTAATTACCTTAGAAATATTCACGGAGAAACATCCAGCATCTAAAAGTTTTTTTGACTCTTATATGCCCTGAAATTTCTATTTAGCATTTTTGTCCTGAACCGTTATCTATCATTAAATTTAACTATTAAAAGCTTTGGTCATACTGTATATATATAATTTAATAGTCAAATTTAATGGCGGACAATGACCAAGGTTATTTTATGCTATGAAAATAAACTTACAAGTCATATGAGGGTGAAAAAAAATCTCAGTGCTAAATGCTTCCTTGTAGATATTTTCAGGATATTTAAACACCTCATCCCATATATATATATATATATATATATATATATAATATTTCTTGAACATCTCTGTGTGTGTGTGTGTGTGTGTGTTATATTGTGTATATAGGTTGAGAGAGGTTCATCTTGTGCTGGTGGTGTGAGAGAAGAAAGGGCACCTCCTGGTTTATTCTTCCGACATGTTGGTCACAGGTGAGTAACATACATAGTTAACTGTTTACTTAGTTACATACTCTTCCGTTTTGTCTTTTTTTTGGGTCAAGGTTAAAATGTTTGAAAACAACGGTTTTTTTATCTAATATTGTCAGGCATAGAGCAATTGAATTCCAGTGGAATCCATCAGATCCTTGGACCATTGTTAGTCTCTCTAATGATTGCAGAGGTCTCGGAGGTGGTACATTACAGGTACATCTACACGAGCAATTCTGTCTTTACATACACAGATAAACATTTATAAAGATTCAATAAGACATATAACATTAATTCTAGTATTATTATTGTCGATTCTTACAATTTAGTTAATCAAATTTTGATTATTTTATTCAGTGTGGTCTCTCTATAACTCAATTATGACATAATTTAAGGTTGTTTTCATGAAAAATACAGATGTGGCGAGTGATGGACGTAATATATGAAGAGAATAATGAGAACGTGGAGAGGAAAATGGCAGAGCTGAATAGGTTCAGACGTTGCACTGCCGGACGAAGCCTATCATCTATCAAGGACTTATGCTTTTGCTTCTAGCTAGGTTTTCTAATTAGTTGGTCAACCCAGTATGACTTCAACATTAATATATATGAGAATAACTATATTGACATAACGACTTGGCAACTCTTATTTCATAATGCAAGATTCAGATACTGTTTGAAAATTTGAAATCATCATCATTATTGTTATATAAATGCCTTTGTTTGTGATGTGATGCTATATTTTAATTTGTTAACATATTTATAGGATTGATACTTACCATATTTTACTTAAGGTATAAATGATGGATGTTGCCAATATATATATTTGATGTTCATGAGAACACGTTGACTATTCAATGTGTTTTCCATTTTTTTAAATTTTTAGTCAATATCGAGTTGGTTGGAGAAGGAGAGTGAATTTGTTCAACAAAGAATCTTTCAGCTAATCAAACGGAAGTAGTAGGTAGGGGGTAACTTGCAAACTAACTAAAGTGATTTTATGAAAACTGTTTTGTGATTTTCAGATTTTATGATATCTTTGTCCAACTCCTGATTTTTTGAGATCCTCTTTTATTGGCTGGCATGTGATTAATTATTTTCAAATTTTATTCAAAGTAGGTTTTCAAAAAAAAAAAATATTATTTTAGTTTTTTTAATTATTTTAAAATTTAAAAAAAGTATTATGATATTTTATATAAATGATTTTTTTAAATAAATAACTTTATATCATGAAAACTTAAACAAACCCTTAATAATTAATCTTAAACTGGTGCTTTGTGCAGCGTGTTCACTCACATGGTCAGATGTATTAGTTGTGAAAATTTAAGGGAAAACCATATTGAAGGTACCTATACTTTCTTTCAATTTTTAATTTGGTACCTATGTGTTTTTTCTCTTTAATTAAACATTTAATTTTATCTTTTTAGCAATATTAGCTCTTATAACTTTGTTCTATTGATATTTTTAGTCTCTACATAAGGATTAATGATGTTAATAGAGGAAAAATAAAGATTTAGTTAAGAACAAAAAACACATAGGTACCAAATTAAAAATTAAAAAAAAGTATAGGTACCTCCAATATGATTTTCTCAAAATTTAAAGCAAAATTGAAAAACAAATCACGTTCTCGCGCTCTCTCTATTGGTGTTTTTTTTTTATAACTCAGTATTTTTAAGCAATCTTAGGCGCAACCTAAAATTTGAATTTGTACTCTCCTCTTTATAGTATGACACTGGTTCCCATCTCAACCAACAACTTGTTAATAAATTGAAAGCGAGCATTAACTCTCTCTCTTTGTATTTTTAATACTCCTCCGATCTTTAATATAAGATTTATTTAACTAATTTGATAAGATTAAGGAAGTTAGATAAATTAGCTAATTATAAAAAATATGAAATGTTTTTCCTAAAACACCATAATCATCTTTTTTAATATCCTCACTCCCTCACTTAGTTGATTATGGTTAAGGAAGTATCCGCAGGGATAATTTAAAAAAAACTGATAAATATAAGAAATAAATTTTATATTTAGGATCAAAATTAACTTAACAATTAGGTCCCATATTAAGGACCGAAGGAGTACTACATTTGGTTTTTAATATACTCCCTCCGTTCCTTATTATAAGAGACAAATAACTAAATTACGTTGATCAAAAAAACAGTTAAAGTTAGTTGAGGACAATTAATGTGTAAAAAGTATAATATTTTTTCCAACAATACCCCCATTAATAAGGAGAGAGAGTATGAGAGAAAATAATTAAATTATTAAAAGAAAGAGAAGTGGGAGGGAGAGAGAGTATGAGTTGGACACAAAATAAATAGGGGTAAAATAGGAAATTAATACAAAAAAATAAAGACAACTTTTAAGTGTCTCTTATATATGGGAACATGCCATAAGCATCAAATGTCTCTTATAATAAGGAACGGAGGGAGTAAGAGTTAATGAACTAATTTGAAAAAATTGAGAAAATTTGTTAAATTAGTTATATGTAATGCATATATATTATTTTTCATACAATATCCTTACTAATCATGTATATTAGTTAGAATTACCATTTAATAGAATCTTTAACATGTATAACTACTATAAGGACTACTTTAGAAAAATAGATAAATATGAAAGACAAAAAATTTTATATTTAAAACCAAATTAAATACCAAATTAACTCTTATATTATATCTAGATATATTGTCTACCAAAATTATAATTTCTCCTCTAAACTTTCATTATTGATTTCATAAATCAAAGGAAGTTTTCATTAATAGGGTCTAATGCAAATAATTAAAGAAGTATTTTACAAAAATCAATACACATCTTTTTAAGAATAACTAACCTACTTAATGTCATTAATTTTGAGAACAAAAATTTTTAATCGATATAAAATACATGCATGAGTAAGTAATATTACTCATATTCAGCTTTAAGATTTTGCATGAATACACAAAAAATGTCATATTTTTAATCAAATTTCATCTAAGAATAAATTTTAGTGTTTTTGTTATAAATATTAAAATAATTTTATAAGTACACAAAAAAATAATTTTATAATTATAAAATATAAAGTGTATTATTGTATCCAAATATAAAATAAGTTTCTTCATTGCTCACTCCAAATCAATTCAAGCAGCGTGGATAAAATCCGAGTCCTGGAGTCTGATGTTTCCGGAAGCGTGAGCGGAAGCTGCAGAAAGTCAGAAACAATCTCAGCAGAAGTGAATTCTTCTTCAGCTGGGCCACGGTTTGTAGTCTCCATTTCTTGTGTATCGGTGGATCTTTCGTTCCTTTATTCCATTGAAGCACCCAAAGAGGCAGACTAAGATGCCTACCATCTCCGCTCCGAAGATCACCGCTTTCTTCTTCCTTCTCTTCTTCATCTCATACGCCCACTCGTTCTACCTTCCCGGCGTTGCTCCTCGAGATTTTCATACTGTATGCTCTCTCAATCCCTTCTACTTCTATTTTCTCAGTTTCTACCTGTTGATTATTGATGTACTACCCGTTTCTCTCTGGTCGTTTAATTTCTTTGAATCCTGGACGTTCTTTAATTTTGCATTTGATAATTGTTGGATCTAGGGTTTTAGGTCTGATCTATGTCCTTTCCTTTGTCTTCGTTCGAGATTCGAGAATGAGAAATGATCCTATTTGCCTTACAGTTTCTGCTTACGTTTTTCATCAGGCTATCGTGGATTATTTGGTTGTTCTGATGTGGTTCGAGCTAGAAATGACTTCTCTTAAAAGATCGTTTGTTCGGGTGAATTGGTTGGACGAGTGTCTGTCGGGAAATGAATTGCAGAGTCTTAGGGAGTTAGGTTAGCTTTTTGAGTTCGGGTCTTGATAGTTTTGGTTGATTGATGTACGGAAATTGAGAACAGGGTGATCAAATCTATTAATATAAAGTGAGAAATTCATAAAATACAGCTTCAGTTGCCGTCTTTCTGGTGCTGAATTGAATCTTCCTGTGACCTCAATAAATGATTTCTGTATTAGGAACTTCTAATTGTTGTATTTCCTGAATGAGGAGTCTTGTAACTATGGTTCAGTTTTTTTTTTTTTTCAATTTTAATTTGTTCGTTTTATATATATATATATAGGTTTGTTGTATTACCCTGAAAATATTGATTCGTTCCTTCTGCTATGGGACTAGGATGAACCGCTGTCTGTTAAAGTGAACAAATTATCATCTACAAAGACTCAACTTCCGTACGACTACTACTTCTTGAAGTATTGCAAACCCCCGAAGATTGTGAACAATGCAGAAAATTTAGGAGAGGTTCTTCGAGGGGATCGCATTGAAAATTCAGTATACACGGTACATATCTATTACTGATTTCATTTAGCAATTTACTTGGATAACTAGGCCTTTAAGAGTTTGTTACAATGGTTTCTTCTTTTGATTCTACAACCTAATTCGATTTATTCTTTTTTCAGTTTAAAATGAGGAAGGAACAATCTTGTACTGTAGCTTGTCGCGTGACTTTGGATGCTGAGTCTGCGAAGAATTTTCAAGAAAAAATTGATGATGAATATCGAGTAAACATGTAAGTGATTAATGTATATTTTCTAGTGCTTTGCTCTTGCTATATAATATAAGTCCTTTTATGTTTTTGAAAGTTCTCTTTTTGACAGTCTGCTTGTCTTTTGCTTTGTATATCCTTGCTGACACGAGTCACTCATGAGATGAATATGCAGGATTTTGGATAATCTTCCAGTTGCTGTTCTTAGACAGAGGAGGGATGGAGGGCAATCAACCACATATGAACATGGGTTTCGTGTTGGGTTTAAAGGAAACTATCAAGGGGTATAAACTCAGAAATCACTTTTGATATGGAAATTTGTTTTTTCTGTTCTCACAAACTTAACATTTACCTGTAGAGCAAGGAGGAGAAATATTTTATCAATAACCACCTGAGCTTTAGAGTCATGTATCATGAGGATCCTGAAACTGATTCTGCTCGTATTGTTGGGTTCGAAGTCACCCCAAACAGGTGTTGTTCCCTATCTCATCTGTAGCCTCTTTTGTTCGAAGATAAAACAAGGTCTTTCATGCTATTTTAAAGAAGGGTTCTAGATACTTCCCCTTTTCCTCATTCTTTTTTATCATACCTCTGCATTTTATGCTTGTTAACAATGCTCTTAAGATATTGTAATCCCTGGTCTTTATCGAAATCAGTTCAAAAACATTGAGCTTCTGTATTGACTGCTTTGTTGTTGATTTTTGCATAACTACTTATTGTATGTTCTTGTCTTCTCATATGAATTCTATCACCGCATACAGTATCAATCACGAATACAAGGAGTGGGATGAGAAGAATCCACAAGTAACAACATGCAATAAAGACACCAAGAATTTAATGCAAGGCAGCACTGTCCCACAAGAAGTAGGAAAAAACAAGGACATTGTATTCACTTATGATGTTTCCTTCAAGGTATCTCTGATCATGCCTATGGGCACTCTTCTTCTTTCACCTCATCTGTGATTGGCCACATTAATTCAGGTTTAATGATTCTTTCTTCTTCTTGTTTTTTTTTTTGCCCCCCAGAAAAGTGAAATCAAATGGGCATCTCGATGGGATACATATCTTCTAATGAATGATGACCAGATCCACTGGTTCTCCATCATTAACTCTCTGATGATTGTTCTTTTCCTTTCCGGAATGGTGGCAATGATCATGCTGAGAACTCTTTACAAAGATATTTCTAATTATAACCAGCTAGAAACCCAAGATGAGGCCCAGGAAGAGACAGGATGGAAACTTCTCCATGGAGATGTTTTCAGGCCACCAACCAATTCGAATTTACTTTGTGTTTATGTTGGTACTGGTGTTCAGATCTTTGGAATGACACTTGTGACAATGATATTTGCATTGCTGGGATTCTTATCCCCATCCAATCGAGGCGGTCTTATGACAGCCATGGTTCTTTTGTGGGTTTTTATGGGCTTGGGTGCTGGCTACTCCTCAGCACGTCTGTACAAAATGTTCAAGGGCACAGAATGGAAGAGGAATACCTTAAAGACTGCATTTATGTTTCCAGGCATTCTTTTCTCTGTATTCTTTGTGCTGAATGCTATAATTTGGGGGGAGCAATCTTCTGGGGCAGTGCCTTTTGGAACAATGTTTGCTCTTGTTTGCCTGTGGTTTGGTATATCAGTGCCCTTGGTATTTGTGGGTAGTTACTTGGGTTTTAAGAAGCCAGCTATTGAAGATCCTGTGAAAACCAATAAAATTCCCAGGCAGGTACCTGAGCAGGCATGGTATATGCAACCCATCTTCTCTGTTCTTGTTGGAGGCATTCTCCCATTTGGCGCAGTGTTCATCGAGCTCTTCTTTATCTTGACATCAATTTGGCTGAACCAGTTCTACTACATATTTGGCTTCCTTTTCATAGTGTTTGTCATACTATTAATCACTTGTGCGGAGATAACAATCGTGCTCTGCTACTTCCAGTTGTGCAGCGAAGACTACAACTGGTGGTGGAGATCTTACCTCACTGCCGGGTCCTCTGCTCTGTACCTTTTCCTCTACTCAATTTTCTACTTCTTTACCAAATTGGAGATAACTAAATTTGTCTCTGGCATCCTGTACTTCGGGTATATGATAATTGTTTCGTATGCCTTCTTTGTTCTGACCGGGACTATTGGCTTCTATGCTTGCTTCTGGTTTGTCCGCAAGATCTATTCGTCTGTGAAGATTGACTGATTTACGTCATATAACGGATGAGAAGGAGGCTAACGCTCAGACCATATGAGAGGCCGTAGAAAAGGTGAAGTCTTGAAGCAGATACTGAAGGGAACTTGTTTCCCTTGATTGGAGTTTTTTTTTTTTATAATTATTTTAGTTATGTTAGAATAGCAGTTGTACTTTTAATTAGTTACCTAGTTTCCAAATGTTGCTGTGACAGATTATGAAGCAACGACTTGATGCTTGCCTATTTCTACATGTCCATGTGTCTTAACATAAGGCATTCAATCTTAAGATAGTCATCGGGGCATTGGTGCAAAATTCACACCCGATTCATCCCAGCCCGGATCTGGTCAGGTCGGGTGAAGCCCAGCTGTTAATGCATCTGATATGGACAAATATGTCCTTGAAATTTCCACCTTATTGTTCCATTGTTCGGGTGTTTATACTCATGCATAGACACTGTCAAATATGAGAATGGTATAGGGAGATTTGAGCCGGTTGTTTATACTTATGCACAGACACTGTCAAAATGTTGAGTCAAGAAATCCAAGACCCTGACATAATGTTTAAAAGGGGGTCCTCGTATAGACTCTGGTAAAATTCAGTGCGCGCGGTACATATCTGTTAGTGATTTTATCAGAAAGTATTAAGCAGCGTGGACGAAGTTGAAAATAATATATAATACTTATATATTACCAATAATTAATAAGTGCAAAAAAAGAAGATCAAAAAGGATATTATCATTAATGTTTACAGCTCAATAAAAAGTCATAACAAACATAATTATGACTGACCATTACGTACACTATGCTAAATAGCTACTGATCATCAGAACTATAATCTCAATCAGGAAAGAAATGAAAAGTGGGTGGTTGAGGAGAAGCCCTCTTGAAACGCTGCAAATATTGGAGGCCCTCTCGCGTCATGAACTTGTGAAAACGACCATACACACTCATCTCTTCCAGGTCTGTGCCTGACTTCATCAACCAGCCTATCACAACCACCATATCATACGACCACTCTCTTGTCATCATCTTCACCTTCTTCAGTCCCTTTGTTTTCCTCCCTTCACCTCTCCTACACTCTCTTAGTGCTTCCTTAAACATGTCATTCACAGATTGCCGAAACATTCACACATCAAATAAAGTTATATATAGAAGGGGGGGAGGGGGGAAATATATATATATATATATATATATATAATATGTAGTAATGCAAACATACCTTCTTAGAATTGAGATTTCAGGAATTACTTTTGTGAATTGTTGGATAATTCGGAAAGGCGAATTTCTAAATGTGGTCATCTATCCAGGACGGTAATAATATAGTCCTCTTCGATATACCCTCCTTGAACATGTATTTCCAGGTGGCGAAGGCTTTCAAGTGAAATAGGGGTCTCTCCATGTAAATCCTACAAGTGGAAAGCAAGAAATTGAAGAAGAGAAAATCTTGTCTGCTTCCCCCCCCCCTCTATACAATTCATTAGCTGATATTTAAAATTTTGATATCATGATATTTGGGTGATTAATATATTGATTCATGCATTCTGAAAAACTGTATACAAAACAAAAAAAATACATAAGCACACATACATATGACTTATACATGCTTGTTTGGATTAATGCTGACAAAAGTAATTTTTATCCGATGTAAATAGTGTAATGTGATTTTTTTTTATATCATATATTGAAAAGCTGGTTTCAAAAAAGTCTAATTTGAAGAAAAAGCCAAATGTCAAAATTCAGAAACCAGAAAAAATTGCTTCAATTTTAAAGCAGCTTTGGAGTAAAAAGCCATCATATTTCGTTCCAACTGACTTTTAAGGCTTCCTAATGGCTTCCTAACGTGATGAGAAACAAGCTTGTATTATCTTTGTAATCGTAGATTGCAGCCTATAAAATGGAGCTCAAATTCATGAACTAACCTCAAACATTCCCATAGGTACAAGCAGCATTAGTGCCAAATGTTGAAGCAATATCGCATCTATATGTAGTTCTCTTGTCGAAGAAGGTATGGCTTTCAATAATTTGTATGAGCACTTTCACATTTGGTTCGTTCATGATGATCAGCGTTCTGGGGATACAATCGGTGATCTGCAAATTTTGGTCATCTCTTCATCATCATGAGGCCTATCATGACGACCAACCCAAGTGAGCCTTTGTAGATTAGGTGCAGAAGAGATCTCAAGCACAAACTTAATGGTATGACGATGGAGAACATTATGTCCACCAATGACACAATTGAGGGTTCGTAGATGCTCAGTGATAATCCTCAGAGTTTTGTAGCCACTGAGAACATGAATGGTTAAATCCTCCAAACTTGAGCTTCGTAGTGTAAATTCTTGTTCTGGTTCTGTCCGGTAAGATTGAATTTTTTGAGGAATAGATGTTTCAAGGACGGGCAACTCTCTGAGAACCAATCAATAACTGAATCAGTAGTACGAATTCATTCGACATGAAGAGTTTCAATAGAAGCAAATTCCGTCTTGGGAAGCTTCATTTGGTCGTCGACTTGGTTCATGTTTAGTTTGAGAACTTTCAAGGACTGAAACTTGGGAGGCAGCTTGTGAAGAAGATGGAAGGTAGTTTAAAATCAAGGGAAAGTTCACCGACAGGAAAGGATTCGAATAATTTAATGATCCACTCATGTGAAGCTCACTATGTTCTTGTTTCTTGCAGAAAGATGAGAAGGAGATTCCGTTGATGAGCAAAGCATGAGGACGATTGTTGGGAACAGTGTATCAGAATCATCATCATGAGGACGACGATGATCAGAGAAGCAGAAGGAAGAGATGGTTGAACAAACATATCAGTTATACTTGTTTCAATTTGAAGAAAATAAATTATAAGACAAAACGGAATAAAAAATTTCATTTATTGTTTCCAAGTGATTCGAGTTCCAGTTTTCTCCGCAAAAGGAATTATGTAAATTATGAGTACGTCTAACTACAATATATAAACGGGGCAAAGCAAGGATATAATATACATATATATATATATATATATAACTACAACTTTTTCTTGCTAATTAAATGATAAGGTGGAAAAAATACCACACATGATTAAAATATGACTGAAAAACTTGACATTGTGGTTGAAAGAACGTTCACATAATTTAAGGACATAGTTGATGATGTTAGGCTTATGATTCATAGGGAGTAGATGGTTATACCGATATATTCTCTTAGGGAATCTATTCTTATTGCTGATCACCTAGCAAAACTTTCTCATCATATAGAGGGTAACTTTTATATCATAGATCAACCTCCTCCTTTGAGTGAGGAGGAGGTTGATACAGGAAACTAGGTCTTGATGATTTTTGCTTTCATGTAAGTACTTGTTCTCACGTTTTGATTATAAAAAAAAAAAAAGAACGTTCACAGAATATTGTGAAAATCTTTCTATAAACAACATTAGTTGTTATTAGAATTTTTATTTAACCTGATTTAACCCGGACAAAGCCACATAAAATTAACCATATGAGAAGACAAGTATTGGAAGATACAAACCAATATTTTTCATAGATAGACCTAACTTTTACTGATTATCATGGCAAAAGAAAGTATCACTAGAAATTGTCTTATAGTCATTGTGAAAGGTAATTTGCATTTCCGATGAATTCATGTCCATTTGGCGGATTAGAGCTTCAGAGACTCAATTCTGGTGAAATAAGGAAATGTGATTGGGTATGAATTTTGGTTTCAATCTAAATGTAGATTTGCTCCAAAGCATCCACATAACTGCTTCTGAATTAAATGTTGTGTTCGCTCAAATGCAAATTCTACCTGTGCGACAAGGAAATGAAATCTCTAAAGTACAGGCTCAGAATTGTTCAGCAGAAATTTGAACACAAACTTATTAACCCCCTTTCATGGTATTTCATATTTTGCATCCACTGGAAGAAAACTTAGTACTCATAAAATACCTTTATACCAAGCAAATCCCAAGAAAAACTCAGGTGATATTGTATGTACAAGCACTCTAGAAAAACCAAAATGGCACAGGCAGAGATAACCCAGAAAAGAAAAAAACAAGAACATTCATGTGACAGTACAATATCATAGATACTGAATTTACATACTAAACTAGCTCTTGTTAGTTAGTCACCCAGTACAACCATATTAGTTTGAGCAGCCTCTTGATTTCCCATTTTTTTGCCTGCACAAAGAACATAATAATAAATGTTTATTAGTGATAAACAAGCCCACTCTGTCTCCTCTTGGTGACCCCAGAGGAAAACAAAAATATAATTAAAGTTCCTAGGCATCGGCTATTCGATATCCAATAAAACTACACGGAATTGAGGTTTTTTGCCTTTCAACACAACCCTACATGATTCAGTCTTTCAAAAGGTTTGTTCATGTAACAAGCACATGCAAGTTGTACCAAAATTTTATTGTGAAAAAATGCCTCCCATGAAATTATAAAAGTGAAATCTTGAGGAGGACAAATGAACTAAATGGAACTAACCAAAATGAATCTTTCTTTTCTTGTGCTAGTAATTCCTCAAATGAAATGTCGGCAAATTCATCCTCTGTGGCCTCCTCCAGCTCACACGTTTTTGCTTTCTCCATACAAGCTCCAATCTCCAGAATCTTCAAGTACAAATGGTAAATATGAGATTTCTTTTGAAAAAACCAAAAACAGAAGCTGACAAAAGCACAAGATCTTCCATGATGAACCTTTTGAGCCGGTAGTTTATCATTCAATTAAATGATAGGGTAAATTACTCTCCTTTCTTGAGAAATGACATAATTAGAAGATTTCCCAAAAAAGTTACCCTAAAATACATGATATCATCAACATACTTTTTGCTACAAAAACCACGGGAATGCTGGGAAGGAAGACTACACAGATCTTCTATAAGTAAGAACAAGAGTTTACCTTCTTGTACGCTGGGGAGAGTTTAAGCTGCTGTTGAAGCCAATTGTAAACAGTTGCGTCCTCCTCTAATCGCTTCTGTTCCAATTCCAGCTTATATATCTGAAACATCAAGGAATCATTTACTCAATGGTGATGCCTGCTAGCTTGAGGACACATTTCCCGTGAGACCTCTAGTTATCTAACCAAGCAAATTAGATCTTTCTGTGTCATACAACCATACATTCAGTGAGAGCTTAAGACATAGAGTAGAGAGACTGCATATACAGTTAACATTCTCTCTTCTCTCTTATCGCCAAGAATCCAGATTATTAACCAACCTGTTGACGAAAGCGGTCAAAGGAGGATCTATCTGCCTTAAATAGTAAAGCCTTTGTTACAACAAATTTCCGTTTGATCACATCGGCCCTGTTAGTGTAAAAGAGCATGAAAGCATAAGAATGACAGGAGAAATATAACTAGAAGGAAACTTATATGATCCCAAATTAACTTCCAAGAGAACAAAGGGGGAAAAAACTTCTAGAAATAGGTGCTTTAGAATAAATTGGGAGTTTTGGACATACTTGTGCTGTAGTTCATTCCTTGCATCCACCAAACTATTAGCAAAGTTTACCACCTGCATAGTGAAAGAGCAGGGTTATAAATTTTTAAGGTGCGTATACTGATAAACTGAATGCATCCACTCATTAAAAAAAAAAAAAGTTTCAAAAGTTGCAAGTACCATGAAAAAGAAAAGACATGGTTATTGAGCTTGTTTGGTTTGTGAATGGAAAGAAATGAAAAGAGAAATGGAGTAAAAAAATGACTTAAGATAGGCAATGTTACCGATCATGTATATTGTTTTTCTATTAAACTGCATTATGTTCAAACTATACATCCCATTAACCTCACCATGTCTTTCCTAAAACTACGCATCTAAATATCCACATCTGGATTTGCTACAAGAAGGTTCACCCTACCCTAACCTCATATGCAGTTAGTATTATCCAATACTACCAGCCAGATCTAAAGATAACACTCAATTGACCTAGCATGTAAGTTGAGTAGGTATTAAGACAATGACTTCCGATTAAAATTCGTTCCAAATGTGCCATGACAAATAAACTGCCAAAGTCAAGTATTCCTTGAAACTAAACTGCATAACGGCATTTATCAAATAAATCCACCAAGCACAGAAATTTTACTTCCTGACATGAAATGGAAACCTCATTTTATACTCTATGACTGCTCTAAGTTAAGTCTTACTTATCACTTGTCCCATAATGTTAGCATAAAAATTTCCCCTAAAAGAAATTTTCTCTCTGTCTCACCTCCTATCAAAAACTAGTCCATTCAGATTTAGTAAGCTTCTGGAAGGTAGATTGTTACTGAAGCAGTGCATTACATCTATCTCAACTTCAACCAATATACTAAGCCTAATGTCTGAAATATTATCTTCTTTCTTTTTGAGGTCAAGGAAATAGAGGAAGCATATAAACACGTGTGTCAGAATGTACCAAGCAAACACATGAAACTAAGAAACCGAAATGCTCAAAAGGGGCAAAAAATGTGTGAAATAACAGGTGACAATTATTTCCACAGACCAAACTAGATTGATATATTCTATTGTATTATCTCGTAGGCAGGGTAAGGTAGCAGACAAATTCAGGATAAAGCAATGGACTTTAACAGAATACATTGCAAGAATTATATTGCAATCCATAACAGAATAAATTGCAAGAATTATATTGCAATCTACAACGCCTCTGATACGGCAATAACTCATTAGTTTGAAACAAAGAATCACAAATACTGACATTCATATGATACGAATAAAGGGAAAGAGTGGAGATTAGTTACCAGTTAGTTAGCTGTTGGATGTTATGCACCAACGGCTTAATGGATAAAGGGAATTGCAATTCAGAGGGATGGACAGTTTAGATCGGTAATTAAGATATTCTCTTTCTAGTTGCCTCTCATCATACCAAAATACGAGATTGAATAAACTATATGATGGTCGAATACAATTTGGAATTTGCTCATATCTAACACGAGCATTAGATTCTTATCAGACATAACATGTAAGGAAAACAGAAAAGCAAAAACAGAGTGCAAGCTGCGAAAAACCTGAGCCAGTGTCAATTTCTTCGACTGGTGGCATTTCACGAGCTCATCATACTGATGTTTGATCTTTCTCTGCATAGCGCTACCGGAGGAGGTAAACGGGTATAAGAAGACAGCTTCTTCCCGGAGCCCCATATCCGAACCCGTATTTGCACTTTCCTCGCCCTTATTATGTTCAGAACTATCTTCAGGTAGCGAATTAATTTTCTTCTTCTTTGACCTCCTCCTCCTCTTCTTCTCTCTTTGCTCCTCCCTCGTATGCTCACTCTCCACGTTCAGACCCGAAGAGATCGAATTCAGTTCCTTGCAATCGCAACTTTTATCATCGAACAAGCTAGCCCATTTCGCAGAATCAGATGGTAATACCTCGAGCAAGAGAGAATGAGTCAAATGGACCGGGTTATTATCATTGGGGTGATGAAGTTTAACTTCATCAGCACATTCTGACAGAGAATGCTTCTCTGTTGTCGGTCCATGACTTTTCAGATTCTGGGTTTTCGCTTCTTGTTGCTGCTCTGTTTTTGATGAGTTTCTAAAAACAGAGAATGAAATGACGATGAGAGAAACAGCAACGAAGAAGATGAGAAAAGCAAACGAGAAAATTTCTGGGTCGTGCATCTGTGGATGAAAGTGTAGTGAGAATAAGTTAGAATGAAGGAGACGGAACATGTAGGAAGGCAAAGCCGCCACAGAGGCGCGTCATTTACAGAGAAAGCAGAGCGACAGACAAAATAGCAAACGAGCTCCCAGGAAGGCGCCCTCAAGGTTGCATTTTGATATTTTGTAGCATTTGGTTGTGGCGATTTGGATTTGATCGACGGTGGCTTATCTGATTTAGATGAAACTAAATAAATAAAAAGCCTTAGGATAATTTTTTTGGCCAGAAAAAATCCTTAGGACAAACAAATAAATAATTTTAGTGAATAAAATGACTTATGTCATTTTCACAAAACGCGTGTTAATATATTTAAAATTGGTTTAATTCTTTCCTTATTTTTTGTCACCATTTACATTTGAGAGATATATGCCTGTCAATTAACCAGCCGTATAGATTAATATCCTCTCAGAATTAGTATCTTCTTTCTTTCTCACCATTTTTTAATCTAAGGGTGGAGAAAAAATAAGGAAAGAACTAAACCAATTTTAAACATATATCCCATATTTTTCAATCTAAGTGTATAGAAAAAATTTTGAGAAAGAAAGAAGATACTGGTTAATTGATAGGTGTATATCTCTTAAATAGTGACAAAATAAACAAAAAATTATACCAATCTTAAATATACATGCATTTTGTGAAAATGACAATCAAATCCATAATTAATATATATTCTGAAAAAACAAAAAGTATACCTTTGTTACTAAAATATCATTTATCAATCCCTCATTGATAATGCAGTGTTACTATAGAAGGCTAAGCCAACAATCAGAATCTCATTCTTACAAACTCAACGGAAAATTAACAAAATGAATGACTTGTAATTGAACTATAGTTAAACTGTTTAGGGAACATGAACATGAACCAAAAACAAATAAAACCCAAGATATGGCATTAAGAAGCATCAACAATAAGATGTTAAAAGGTACGAAAAGATTGCTGACTTCTGATTTGCCATTGTTCTTGAGATGTTCCTTACAAGAAGTAAGCAACTAAACAACCAGCTCTCATGGGAGCCACAAAGGAGGAAAATAACAAAAATAGCACAGGAAGCGAGAGGCTTCACGCGGTAACCAAAATGAAAGAAAGAAAATTTGCAGTTGGACGCAATTAGTGTCGTTTTGATATCTATCTCCAACAACTGTTCTTCGCAGTTCTTCACCTTCTGTACACGTCCACAATCTCAGCAATCTCACTACAGGCTTTTAACCAGAGAGTGTGTTGTGTTTTTCTGCAACTTCACCTTGGTAAAGCCAAAAATAATGCTTGTGGTGATCTGTATGTGTAGATTTGGTTGACCCAACAACGTTTGATTGAATCGTTAAAAAAAATGTAAGCTTGAACCATTGTCACGTTTCTTTCCTTGATTTAAGGATGTTCAGGAGCAAATGGCCTCCACTGAGAGTTTCTTCATCACATTTGGACATGGATCTCCTCCAAAGTTTTCATGTGACACAGTTACTTTGCACCAATTCTGCCCAACACAATTCTGCAACAACAATCTATATTAAACACTAGTACCAATTATGAATCAAGAAATGTTAAAAAGTCCATGATATACAGACGACTTGAAAGCATTATTTTGTTAGACCAAACTTATTCAAAGACCTTTAATTAATAGCCCACTCTTATGGGTTAAACTGGTCTTTGGCGAGATACAGTAGTATCTATGAATAAATAGTTTGGAATTCTATCTTTGTCCTAATTCTTAATACTTGAATAAAAAATGTCAGCCTAGGTATGGTGAGCCGATGCTATGCCTACATTTCTTGCCCAAAAGAATAATACAAGAGATCATAAATGCATTTCATAGGCCTATACATCATAAGCCTAAACTTGAGTTGAATGATCCACTCCATAAAAGTTCCAGAGAGAAGGAGGAAGAGGAAGCAAAAGGAAAAAAGAAAAAGGTAATACCTTTGAAAGGCGTCATATGACTTATGAGCATGGCATTTTCCTTCCTGAAAGTTTCCACAGGACCCCGTGGAGTACCAAAGCTAGCAAATTTGATTGAGGAGATTTTCTGCCCGGGGCCACATGATAAATGTACTTTTGGCCTCAAAGGTTTGCTGACCTTACCAGAAGCTTGCATCCGATAACTTCTTAGACTTGGCTGCCACTCATTAATATCAGCACAAACACTGTCTATTTCCCGTCTGACCAAAACAATGCCACTTGGATCTCCAACCAATTCCTCAAACAAGACCAGTAAATTTCCAGCTGGCTTCAACCATGATCGAGGAACATGATACCTGAAACCATCAGCCAGTGTCCAATATGATGATAGTTCCTCACAGCACTAAACAACTGATACATGATAACAACTAGTAATTTATTTCTCACCATCTTTGAGAGGCCTCGCCACAGTTACTTCCGCATTTCTTCTCATTATAAGTTCCTGTATAGTTACAGGAATCACAAGTACCTGATGCCTTATAACCAGGCCAGTAGCGACCAAGACTCTGTCCGTTTATCCATACTTGACCTTTGCCCATGCTGCTCAAGTCTAAAGCCAATGGTGCAGTTCCAGCTGGGGCATCAAAAGTAGTCTACAATCATGTAAAAGTGGAGTTAACGAGAGAAGGATGTTAAGGCCTGCCTTTCCAGAACTATAGTCCACAAGGTTGTCTTTTATGGCCCATTACATGGGCAACATTCCGTGTGAATTTATATCTGTCTGAAGTCTGAATTTGTGTGTCGGTATGGCTGTACTATCGTTTAAATGGATGGGAAGGGTAAAGTGCTCGTGCAAGTAGATCCAAACAAAAATTTTTCTATTTCAACAATGAAAATCATTCTACTACTAGCAGTAGTAATAACGATAGCACCAAAAGACTATATTAAGAAAAGCTGATTGCAATTAAAGTTCTTGAGAAAAGTGCAACCTACTCACTTTGTACCAAGTCAATGGCTGCTTTTGTGAAACTAAATACCCCTGCATCCACTCAACTGAAGAACTTCTACCAAGGGAATGTAGACTCAAGGCTTCACCTTTTAGACCGATCTGAAAGAAGCATGAATTTGAATGAAATTTCAAGAAATTAGGAAGGGAAAGTAGCATAACGGATGCTTGGGGAAGAACCTTGTAAGACCATTTCTGCCACGATAAGTCCCTTCTCCCCTCATTGAGACCATTCAATGCAACAGGGCCAAGAACACCAGCATTCCATGTTTCAAAATGTGGACCAACATTCTGCATATCAACATGATGGCAACTTGAGAGAGAGTCATCTTAACCCAAATTCTATGTTATCTGAAAAATCAGACTAGTCTATAAGTGCAGGAATGCATCTGACAATATCTTTCGATTGGTGAGGGTGAGGGGTGAGAGCATGTAAGACAGAGAGAGGAGGCAAACCGGGAGGCCAACTGCAACACTTAGAAGGGAGATTTTGTTAACACCAGCTCTGAGCTTCACACTCTCACTAAATGTTATTTTTGGGAAATCTAAGCTTCCATAGACAGTCCCTGACCAAAAGAATGGAGAATAAATTTCACAATGTGAATAAAATCAAGCTATCATCTCTTTTTTAGCTTCCAAAGTAAGGATTGGAATAATCAGTGCACCCTAGGATTGTTCTTAAATCAGCATTATGATGCGCACCTGATGGCTGACCATTGATAAAGACATGTAAAGCATGCCCAGCAGATAAGATTGTAAGAACAGGGTCCCTTCCGTTGCTCAAAAATTTTTCACTGGGATCAATCACAACACTTGCAAGGGAAAGAAGAAGAAATAAGTCATGAATAACGGGTTCTAACTAAATGTTTAGTGGAAAAGAGAAAGCAGACTATGAAATTATACAAGTTACTCACTCTGTGGAATACCATAAGTAGTCGGAGACATCTCTTGTTGTATTTATTTGCTCCAACAGGCCTGTCATGGTAAAGGAACTATCATAAGTTGAGGCTGTATCTTCATTGAATGAATCCCAAGAGAGTCCTTTATGGATTGGAACACTAGTCATCTTCATTTGTGCACTCTGCGCTCCAACCTGTACAGAATCTTTGATTATTCATTTCTGAAATCCACAACGTGAAATTTGCTGAAGACGCTCATTTTCTTTATTCTAAATAAAAAATTAATCTAAAAGAGAACTTGCAAATGGATGTTAGAAACCAAAAGGTACTTATTCCTTCCCTTTTGCACATGTCTACTTTTATGAAATGAGCAAGTCAATCTTGCAAACAGAAAATTATTCAGTCCTACAATATTCACATATACTTAATTCTGAGACAAAAATGTCTTTCTTATAACCAACCCAAATAATACTTTAAACTACTTTTTCCTACCCTCGCAGTGTTATAAGCAGTGTGTACGCAGTCAGGAAGAATGCTTATAGACCATGGAGGCAAGTTGTAATGCCTATTTCCAAATGCCACTGTTGCTGTGGATCTTGAATCATAGTTTGCAAGGAATGCAGCACAAGCTCCCGACTTTGATTTGAAGACATGCGCCTGGACATTAATGAGGGAAGTTAGAAATTTAGTTCAGTCATAAATCATATTAAATTTCAGGACAAAAAAAGCATACTAAATTTTATAATTCTCAGGAATACTGAATCAAGCTAAATACCTCTTGAGAGTTTCCAATCTTTGTTACAATAGGATCTCCAGATACTAAAGCAGGTTCGCACAGTTTTATTGCCCTGTGTAAATCCTTCAGATGGCCCCACTTTGGCTGCCTGAACATTCCTGCATATATGAAGAAATTATAGAACTGAAATTCCGGCAAGGAGTTAAAATGAATGAGTCATATTTTATTTCAATTTTGCTCAGGATAATTTATGATATTATGCGGACTGGATTACTTCACTCTCACACCACATTGCGATGGGCTTGGCTCTCACACACACACACACACACACATTGTGGTAACAATGACATTTGGGAGAAAAACATTCCTATAGAGAATCCAAAGAATGACATTTATGAAGTTCTACGCCAAAAATCGTGTTGTATATATGAAGAAAAGTAAACTAATACTTTGTGTAGAACTTTATAAACTTTAAAGGCTCAAAATTCAGAGGATCAAGTCATATGTAAGAGGTGCAGATCACAAAATATTGCAAAGAATGACAAAATGAAAAAGTGATTCAAAATGCCTTTG